CTCTCTCTCTCTCTCTCTCTCTCTCTCTCTCTCTCTCTCTCTCTCTGAAATACGAAAATTGTTAAAAGATATTCACATTTTCACGCGAATACTTCGCGTTTTGATATTTAACGACGAAGTAGGGGAATAAAAATATCTGGGTTGAATCTAGGTTCAAGACAAGGGAGAAATTTCTTCGAGATCTCGACGGTTGATCGTCTGAATATTTCGCATAAGCGCGTGTGTACGTACAACGGGAAAACATTGCACACGTTTATGTTTCGGACGAGGAAACCTATAATTCCCTTTTCGTATCTACTCGAGGACTGTATTCAACAACGCTCAGGGCGTGTCGATGTTTATCGAGAAACAGGAAGAAGATGTTTCGAGCTTCCTCGCAGTCTTAATTAAAATCGCAGGGGTTCCCCTTGTAAAGAGGTGGATGGAGAAAGAAAAGATGGAAATTACGATTATTAAAATGGGACGTTAATTTAAAACGTAAAACTTGATTATTCTTCTCCCTTTTTCTTTGAAATAAAAAAAAAAAAAAAAGGGGGGAAGAAACATCGATCGATGGACTGAATAATACATTCTCTTGATCGATATTATATTTAAAAATGAAAATTTTTTAACAATATAATATAAAAATTATACATTTATTTAATTCATTTTCTAATTTAATTATACTGTATTATCGATATGATTCACCAATTTTGAAATAGTTCATCTTATAATTGAATTTGTGTAATTGTACAATTTTGAACAATTATGACCTTACTCGATTTATTAATATTGTATCATGTGATATTCAATTTTTACTTAAATAACTCAATTTCTAGTGGAATTATTCTCAAAATGGTAATCTTGTAACCTTTTAACACTCGAAAAGTTACTTCGACGATTATAATTTTGTGCAGAAATTCGAACTAGTAGAAAAATTATTTTAATTAATATCATGAAGATACCACTTTTCTTTTTTTACCAAAAAATCGTCAACATCTTTACAACAACAATATTATTATACAAAACTCATTTTTTTATTCTTTTTCCAATTATAATTAACTCGAAAATTTCAGATAACGATGGACAAGTTTCCACATTTTCCTTTCTCTGCTGAAACAGCTTCGCACAGATATTCCATCTTTAATAGATAAAAGATAAAGAAACGATGATTCTGCAAATACAATTTATACAATTTATTAATTATAAATTTGATTTATCTCGTATTTGATATCGTGTAAGCTAATATTTTAATCATAAATAATTAGTTAATATTAATATCACCAAAATTTTGCTTGTTAGATAGTTAGTTCGCCTCTCTCAATCAATGAATTATTCCCGAAACGTAACATAATTGTTTAACTTCTATAACAATTATGAACTTGCCCAATTTATTTTCTGGTTAATATCATCATACCATGCGATATCGATACGGTTCACTTGTTTCATTTCGGGGTACATAGTTCGTCTTACGGTCGAATTATTCCCAAAATGATAATGTTAACAATATCACGAGCAAGTGATATGTAAGTGACGAGTAAATGTTATTCTCCACTTCCACGTATTATCCCTCGAACGAATACATAACAGTCCGGGCAAAGAAGGCAAGATTAACATACAGATGTATTTGTCGACTAGAAAGAAATTTTATTACATTAAAATATAAATTTTATATTTTTAATTTTTTCTTTCAAATTTTTCACCCTTTCTCTCCACGGAAAATTATTTCAACGAATTTGTCAACGTGTAAATTTCGATTTTGATTGAATTTGATCGAGATATATATTTTTTTATACGCGAGATATTTTGACGAACAACAACAAGTTTCGTCTACTATTAAATTTATAAAAATTGAAATATAAGTTTTCGTTTCATGTTTCACAGAAATTCAATTTCAGGATTTCAATTTTTTCTTCTTCGATCATAGAAGTTTGTTTAGAAAAAAAAAAAAAAAAAAAAAAAGAGAGAGAAAAATAGGAAAGAAGAAATGAATGGAACGTCTCAAATTTTTCTCTCTTTCTTTCCACGGAAAATTATTTCGAATTTGTCAACGTGTAAATTTCGATTTTGATTAAATTTGATATATATATATATTTTTTTTCACTTACATGCAAAAATATTTTGACGAACAACAAGTTTCGTCTACTATTAAATTTATAAAAATTGAAGTATATATAAGTTTTTGACTTATTCGTGTTTACAGG